TATAGTGATTTCAGCTATTTTTGCTATTATGACCTTAATCTAAAACAAAACAAAAACTCTAACAACCTTAAGGCTACAGCATGCAGTAATAATTTTAGCAATGAAGTCATGAATGTTATTTTAAGCTGTCTCAAAATTCTGGACATCAATATCTTGGGAAGTAAACTTTGCTATAGAAAAATATGAATTGTATTGCCTATTATATTTAGGGATACTTGGTGTGGTAGCTTCAACGTAATTGGCTCCCAAAGCTTATAAGGAGTGGCACTATTATGATGGGCTTTGCTGGAGTATGTGTGGCCTTTTTGGAGGAAGTGTGTCACTGTAGGGGTGGTCTTTGAGGTCTCATATATGTCCAAGCCACACCCAGTGTCTCAGACCACTTCCTGTTGCTTTTTTGATCAAAAGGTAGCCAGCACCATGTTTGCCTGCATGCTGCCATGTCCTGCCATGATGATAATGTGTAGCATGAATCTTAAAAGTTCTTATTAATAAAATCAAACCTGAAGCCAGTTATTGGGGTGAACACTGGATGATCAGAGAGACAGAACAAGCCACAGCTATCTCACCTTGCCAATTCCTCAGTTGGTCCTGTTTCCTCAGACTGGAAGCTTCTGTGTCCTCATCCCAATGGCTCTCAGCTGAACTGCTGCTAGAAGCCTGAATGCTTAACCAGGCAAATGCTTAACCAGGCAAATGCTTAACCAGGCCATATGCTTCCAGTTTCTGGTCCTCACGCCTTATAAACCTTTCTGCTTTCTACCACCACTCCCTGGGATTAAAGGCTGCTTTCTGGGATTAAAGGCGTGAGTCACCATGCCTGGCTGTTTCCAATGCAGTCTTGAACTCACAGAGATCCAGAGGGATTTCTGTCTCTGGAACGCTAGGATTAAAGGTGTGTGCTAACATTTTCTAGCCTAAGTATCTTGTGGTTTTTCTGTTCTCTGACCCCAGATAAGTTTATTAAGGTACACAATATTTTGGGGAACACAATACCACCACAATAATGGACTAAACCTCTGAAAATGTAAGCACCCCAGTTAAATGTTTTCCTTTATAAAAGTTGCTCTGGTCATGGTGTCTCTTCACAGCAATAGAAACCCTAACTGAGACACTTGGAAATCTCTTAGGTAATAAGCTGTTCCCAAGACCATTAAGATCTATTTATTTTATGAGATGTTGGGAATTGAACTCCAGGCCATATACATGCTGGGACACACTCTACCACCGAATTCTATCTCTTGCTTTTCAAGAAATTTTTATGCTATATAATTTCATGCTATATAAGCATGATACAGTTTATGAGACTAGACTACTTCTCAGTAGTTAGTCTTTAATGGATAATGAAATCAGCCCTAATGACAAAGAAAATTTTAAACTCTAGGCAAGAAAATTATTTTTTTATCCGTAAAACTATTGCACACACTTTTCTTTCAAACTACAATATCCAGATCCTACTTCTGGATAAATTCATTAAACTGGTCTTGCAGGCTGTGTTGACAAACACCTTTAATCTCAGCACTAAGGAAGCAGAGGGAGAAGGATTTCTGTGAATTTGAGGTCAGCCTGGTCTACATAGTGAGTTCTAGGAAAGCCAAAATTTTATAGAGATACTCTACCTTAAAAAAAAAAAGAATTAAATACATCTTTCTCTTGAAATAAATATGGTTGAATCAGTGAAAGATGAGCACCTCAGTGAACTTTAGTCATAGCAAAGGACCAGGGCAATCCTGTAAACAACTCATGAGGACTGTAGGAATTTTAGTAACTAATAACAAAGGTCACACAATAAAATTACTACCAAATTATGCATTCACACACTTTTAGAAATGGCTTTCTGAAAGACAGAGTAAATCTAGTAATCCTCTCTGACTCTTCTCCCACTTGTTTTACTGGAGGGAAGGCAGGCAAACCGTAAACAGTAGTACTGACAACAGAGCCATGAGTTGACTTATATTGCAGGGAAGCTTGGTTCGCCACTAAAATGCTAGAAGAAGTTCAAGAAGAGTCAATTCAGACTGAGCTCACAGTCATAATACAGGGAACCTGAGACCTGCAGTGAAATGACTGTGGCATGCCCCATGGGATAAGCTGTATTACAGGCTGCAGAACACCTCATTGTAGAGGCTGGTAATCTACAGAGGCCCATCTGTTAGCTAACATAGAAGGCTTCCTCTCGGATCTGTGGAATCAAGTTTGTGGTTAAACATCAATAGTTTCAGATCTATGATTCATTTTTATTAAGACCAAATAATTCAAAAATAGCTGGGCAGTGGTGGTGCAGGCCTTTAATCTCAGCACTCAGGAGGCAGAGGCAGGCGGAACTCTGTGAGTTTGAGGAAAGCCTGGGCTACAGAGTGAGTTCTAGGAAAGTCTCTGAAGCTACACATAGAAATTCTTCCTCAAAAACAAAACAAAACAAACCAGAGGCTTACATATTAAATATATAGTTAAGTGGTATCTATATAAATGACACATAAAATGAAAGAAAAATACAAAATAAACTAAGATAAAAGAGAAATGTTACCAAATTTAAAATAGTACAATAATACTCAAGCTTTGCTAAGAATAGGCTTAACACATAAAAGTCCCTAATCTCATGTATACAAATTAAATGATGTATTTCTCATCAATAATTTTTATCCTCTATATGTGTGGGTGAGATATGCTATTTAGATTTAAGAACAAAATCAAAGTCCACTGCAATTATTAAAAATTCTGAAAAGTTGAAGATGGAAAGAATATAGATTTTCTTTTTTGAATTTTAATCACTACTGAAAGTTTTAAATATATATATATATATATATATATATATATATAAAACAAAAACAAACTCAGAAGGTTGTATTTATATATTTGTGCATACATATAAATATATATATAATGGATAGTCAGATGCAAAACTAACTGGGGAAAAAGCGGCTATGAATCTGAGAGTGAGAGCAGCATGAAGAAGTTAGAGGAGGACATGGGAAGGCACAGAGAGAGGAAAGGGAAGGAGGAAAATTAAGTAATTACATTTTGATTAAACTATATAAAAATTGTTGAAGTAGGGAAAATGTAAAGGAACTATTTCCTGTCAATGAAAAAACTCTCATGTTTGAAAGTGCATTTGTGTTATAATGTGAACTAAATAAAATTTGATTTATCAATTAGCTAGTTTAATAACCCCCTCTTAATCTCCACTCTTCTAGAGATTTGTTCACTCATTTCCCCCACTCACCACCACTGTGCAAACCTTCAGTGTCCTAGACAAACCAATCCACAAGCTCTTTGGCTCTATCAGTACAGTATATTTCTCTTCTCCCTTTCTTTACTTGTCCCTCCAGTTGCTAGTCTATCTCCTTTTCTTTTGAAATTCAGGCTTCTTTATGTCTGTTCTCTCATCTGTGATTCCCTTAACTCCTATCCTACCTTATTCCATCCATTTCACTGACATGTTCTATCGAGGTTCCCACAACTGGTCAAAGTGCAGAGAATAAAGTGTCTGTGCATTACCTAGTCACATGTGGGACCTATCTATCAGAACCCCTCCTTAAAGGCTCAGGGATCACTAAAGAAAAAGGAAACTGAAGGATTTCAAGAGCCAGAGGTTGGGAAGGTCTGGAGCAGTACTGTGTGTCCTAGATTACAGGAGCACTGTGCTCACGAACTCACAGCTGCTGGAACTGCCTATATAAGAGGAGGCCAGCCAATACTCCAGTGTGGAGGAACCCAACTCCGAGATAAGGAGCTGCTGACAATGGCTTCTAGAAGGAGTCAGTGTTCCTCAAGTATAGGGCCTTGAGTAAGTTGACCAGGAACCAGTGGGTAGCCCCAGATCTATGAAAAATACACACACATACACATATATGTATACACACATACATACATACCTCAAATTGGACTTGGTGGGTTGATAAAAACCAACCAAACACAAGACATTAAGTTGGGGGAAGAGTAGTGAGTGGATCCGGAACAGTTAGGACAAGGAGCAGAGGCTCAATACTATCAAAACACATTGGAAGGATACATGAAATTCTCAAAGAATAAAAAGATTATATTTTAAAATATGCATCTTTTCTAAAGATGGATTTATATTGGGTTTAGGTCAAAACTTTGTTAGTGTTACATGAGTTCCCTACTTCTACTGCCCCCGAAATCTATATAACTACAAAATAACTCGTAGGATTAAATACCTGCTGGGACTGTGATTCACAGAACTGAATAAGGCTTATAAATCTTACAAATTGAAAACCAAGATGCCTTCCTCCTTGTTTCTGTCCTTTTTGGACTTGTTTAAATTGAAAATAATTTTTATGCAATATATTCTAAGCAGGTTTTCCCTTCTCAATCTCATCTCATATCCTCCCTATCTGTCCATCCACTCAACTGCAGCCTTTATTCTCTCTTTGGTAAAAAAAACCCAGGCAAATAAACAAATCAGAACAACAACAAAAGAAAACAAAGAAGCACAGAAACACACCTACACAGACAAGCATACAAACAGAAAGGAAACCCAGAAAAATCACAAAATCTGAAACCATAACATACAAGCGAAAGACCATGAAGATAAAAAATGCTGGAAAAATGCCCAATTAGATATCTTTTATCTCCGTCCATTTTAATCCTTTCCACGAAATAGCAGAAAGGAAGACTTCAACTTCACCCAACTCTACCCAGAGTCCCAGCTCCACAAGATCTCAGAGACGAAAGGAACCAGTTCCGCGCTGGTGATACTGAACATGATGACGTCCTGCCTTCTCATTATGCATCCTCCTTTAACAGTGAAAACACAGCCCTAGTGTATGGTTGTGAGCTTGCTTGCTTTGCCTGGCCGTGGCTAACTGCTACAGTCTAGGGTGAACATTAACTTTAATGTTATGTTCTGAAAGTTCTAGGCTAAAAATATTTGATCAATTTTACAGAAAACCTTTTATCATAATTTTTTTTACTTTGGTTTCTATTTATAGTAGTAAGCCCAAGTGACATCTTAAACAAGGTAAGGATGACCCTCTCACCTGTAGCCAGCTCAGAAGCTCCGCTTTCTTCATGAGTACTTCCATCATAAATTGCATCTTGGTCAGTTGGTTTTTCAGAACATGCAGTTTCCCTGGAAACAGAGAAAGGCAGAACTAGAAATCATCAGTTCACCTGTGGCTAACTGTTTACATTACCAGGAAGCAAATACAAACAAATGTTCCTGGAAAAAAGGTTCTGCTCAGATAGAAATATTGAGAGAATTATGTGATTTAGATGAAATCACTTAGAGATAAGTCCCATAAAACAAAGAGGTTTTAATTATAAATGGCTGTTTAATGTTCACGATTATTAATTACTTAATTACCTTATCACATTTTATTCTTCTAATCTCTGTGGGCCTTAGCATTGTAAAAATCTGAAAGCAGTTCTACATTTCACTAAATTTTCCCCAAAATGAAGAACAGGGATCTTATATGATTGTTCAGTACCATATGTAAATAGCCCTCAATGCCAGACCAGGACCTGACTTTGGAAAGGCTAAAATTAACTGTTACCTTCTTTATACTATGGTATTTGAAAACCTATGCTTCATTTCAGATTCAAGGCAACTGAATCTAATCTAAGTGAGTTAATGACTAAAAACACTTAAAATTATCCAAACCTATACTAGCCACTTGTAATCTATGATGTTTTCCCTTAGAAATCAAGTATACAGATAGTTACAGAAAGAAAAAAAAACTTGATAATAATAGAATAAAATAACATACTTTGATCAGACAACATGAATGCCCCATGGAATTTAGCATTCATTAGCTAGATCTAAAGTTAACACTGCTTAGATGTAAAGAATACAGAGGTGTAACCAACTTGCAGCCTTGGAGGAGGTGCAAGGTTTTCTTAAACGATATATTTCTTAGTTCATAATGTCTAAGAATTAAATAAATTAAATCCTGTCTTAGTTAGGGTTTTTATTGCTGTGAAGAGACACCATGACCATAGCAACTCTTTTTTTTTTTTTTTTTTTGGTTTTTTCGAGACAGGGTTTCTCTGTGTAGTTTTGCGCCTTTTACTGGAACTCACTTGGTAGCCCAGGCTGGCCTCGAACTCACAGAGATCCGCCTGGCTCTGCCTCCCGAGTGCTGGATTAAAGGCGTGCGCCACCACCGCCCGGCTGACCATAGCAACTCTTATAAGGAAACCATTTAATTGGGGTGGCTCGCTTACAGTTTCACAGGTTTAGTCCATTACCATCATGGTAGGGAACATAGAGGTCTGCAGGCAGACATAATGCTGGCTACATCTTGATCAGAAGCAATAGGAAGTGGACGGTCTCACTGGACATGGCTTGAACATATATGAACCCTCAAAGCCCATCTCCACAGTGACACACTTCCTCCAATAAAGCCACATCTCCTAATAATGCCACTTCCTTCGAGGCCGTTTTCTTTCAAACCAACACAAACCCCATGCCAGCTCTATAGGTTATGATTGTATATTGTACTTTAAATGATACCATGGAAGTCATGGAGAAATTTTGTGGAGAATGCATTCGCCTGTGCTAGAATGTCTAAACCTGGACTACAAAAACAAACAAACAAACAAACAAAAAAACAAACAACAACAACAACAAAAATCAAAAACCAAAAACCAAAAAACCCCCCAAACCAAACAAACAAACAAAACCCATATTCTAAAAGTTGGCATCTACCTTGCCATCAGCTTGTAAAGACATTCTCCCTAGATTTACAGCTGGTGTTGGGGAGCAAAAAGGATGTACCTTTCAGGTTTTATGTTCTGTTCCAGCTGCTGGACTTCATTTAACAACTTATGCAAGCTTCGGATCTTTGTTTTCTTCTCATTCAGCACCAAGATAAATCTCTGATACAGATCAGCCTCCAAGGCTTCTTTGGCACTCACACATTTCTCAAATCTAAAAAAAAAAAAATCAAACAAGTGAACAAACTATAAGTCAAGTAGATTTTATATCATTAATATTCAATGTTAATTTTATATCATTAATATTCAATCTCAATCTCATTCTTATGATTTCAAGAAAATTTGAAAGCAAAAATAACTAAGGTCATTTTTATACATGCTTTCAAAGACTTAAATGTTTTAAGGAGAGAAATGAACAAATCAGAAGATACTAGTTATTAATATTTGTAATTTATGTTCTAAAACAAAGAATAATGAAAATGGATAGAAATAAAGCTTTTTAAACTAAATGTTCAAACATAATAATTTAATCATATGCAGTTTATTTAAAAAAAGAATATTTTCATGAGAATTTCAAACAAGCAAATGTACGGTTTCCTTAGTACATTAATATTACTGTAATAGAAGCCACTAGCATATTTTATATTAAAGCAATACAGCCAATTTGTTGTCAGTCTTCAGACTATGACTTGTTCCACAAGAACATAATTTATCAATTTGTGTCTTTATAACCCACCACATATGCATGCACACACCCAAACAAAAATAGAAACACATATGTTATGAACTCAATTATACCACTTGATATTGCAAGAAGATAATACAGAAATGATGAATTTGTCAAGAAGTATATATCTTCAGTTTCAGATATATAAGAAAAAAGAATAAAAGTCTCTGTATTTCAAATTCTTCCTGGAATGCTTTAATTGTCAAGGGATTTCATTTGTCTTAATACCCCAAGATATAGAGAGAAGGCAAACTAGTAAAAGTTGTATATACCTGGTGTGTATGTAAACATGTCTTGAATAAATTCCTATTTTACAAATTTAAACACAAATTAGTTCACTGAAAGTATTCTTTTAAATATAGTCAAGTTCTGCCTGTTTTTATCTTTACAACACTGCTTATTCTGTATGTTTCTAAAGGTATTTTATATGTATTCCATGTGTCCCAATAATTAAATATGTACATATATATAAAGCATATCTTACAATAAAATTCTTACAAATGAAATTGTCAAAATGGGATACTTTTCAGATAGGCCCTTAATGTGTCCCACAATCCACCTATTTAAAAATACAGAGAATGTATTCTAAGATGAAAAGGATCATCTAACAATGTTATTCTGGAACTATTTAGTGCAGATTCTTTTAGCATGAATTTACTGAGGTTGTCATTCCATTAGACCACAGAATATGTGTGTTATACCCAGTGCTTTACTCTCAATGCCTAGCAGAGATGTTCAGTACACATTAATGAGATAAAGTGAGTTGAATGGGACAGGGTTTTTCCCAGCTCGATTGATGATTTTTACATGTCCCCAAGAGTGTACTTATGCTTTTCAACATACCCTTCTATACCTTCTCTGAGCCCGTCTTCCAAGATGCCAACCAGTCAGGCATTACATTGGTTTAAGAAGCAACGTAACACTTTGAACTTCTCTTCCTTGGAGACGTCCCTTTCTCGGCCTAGCCCATCCATTTGTGTACTACTGGTCTACCAGTTAAGAGACTAATCTGAAATCTTTAGCAGCACTGTGTGCCTGCAAGGGGCTGAGGACTTCCTAAAGGGCATGAGATACAACATGTATCCCTTTAGGCCCTTCGCGCTGGCAAAAGGTGGCTTGATGGACTTGTTTTGCCTCACTGGATGTAAGAGACACCAATGGTCTGTGGCTCCCCTTAGGAATGTCTCCTTCCCTTCAGTCTTTCAAATTTCCAAAGATATAGCTAACATTCATTGTTCATATTATGCAGGGGTATGTTACTATATCTACAATTTCAGATGCAAACTGTTATGTGAACATTCTCTTATTTTCATATTATATTTTCTAATGTAATGGCATAAGAAATATAAATGAATAGAATATATATATATGTATATACATATATCTAAACAATCTTAGTATATATAATAAAACACTTTAGACACATAGAAATAAATATGTACAATACAATAAATTTCATGCATATCACACTTTTTACAGAAAAATTTAAAAATAGCAACAAATTTAGAATCTATTAGATTTAATTTCACATTTAATTTTCACATAAACCTTCCTGAAGCTCTTGACTGAAAGATTATGCACATGCATTAACTATCAAAACTATCAAGGTAATTCCTACAACTTCATGAAAACTGTCATTTCCAAAGCACATAAAAATCTGTAAAGGAGCCGGGCGGTGGTGGCGCACGCCTTTAATCCCAGCACTTGGGAGGCAGAGCCAGGAGGATCTCTGTGAGTTCGAGGCCAGCCTGGGCTACTAAGTGAGTTCCAGGAAAAGGCGCAAAGCTACACAGAGAAACCCTGTCTCGAAAAAACCAAAAAAAAAAAAAAAAATCTGTAAAGGTATCAAAATGAAATTTATATAATTTTCATAAAAGTAGTACTAACTTGATTAACCATACCACAACTATACTGGCAAAGGTCACATCATTTCTGTTACAGGGAAAAAAGTTGTGCATCATGTAGGTTAACCTTCCCTGCTTTTACGCCTTTATTGCAATCAACTGGTCATCAAACAGGACAACACCTCCCAGAAAAGGTTGAGTTGTATAGTATAGCATATTATTATCAATAATCATAGAACACAAATTTACTCTCAGTTATTACCTTCTCAACAGACTCAGAGAATATTACCCTTTTTTTCAGTATTTAGGAATTAAGACATGCATAGCTTGTGGCCTACATTATCTTTAAAATCAATCTTCTGTAACGTTATAATCTACTATGCCTTACATATTACTTGGTGAAAAACTGGGCAAGAATTACTAGGTGAGACCATTGATCCAGGAGAGACACGAGACTCACTGCTAACCTACGGACAATAAAACAAACCCACAGACCACTGAAGCAGGTTACAACTAGTCCAAGGATCTTTTCTGAGCCCAGGCTCAAACAAATGACACCATAAGTAGCATCAAGAAGAAAAGGCCTAATGACATTTGTCCTTTAAAAACTGACCATGGCATAGATCAATAATGCTAAGCTTCATCATTAACCTCAGTAATCAGGGACTTGGGAAGTTAGACCAGAATACAGTAATTTTAAAAAGTGACAAATAAATAAATACTAAATACATGAAGTATTGATGCTTCAAAAGAAAATATTTCTGAGTAGCAAAACAATCTAAGAACAGTATGCAAACAAAAAGACAGAGAGCAAAACAAGGAAAGTTCACACAAAAATATTCCAAATAAAATAAGAGACTGACAATCCAGAACAAATAAGAGGCACATGCATGTGAGTATACAGTACAGAAACAGTATAGTGATCATTGTATTAACAGTGAGTTCTGGCCCAGATCACTCCAGCTCAAGGCTGTAAAATAAAAGAGAATCTGAGCAGCACAGAATGGCTCAGGAAGGTTGAGAACTGGAGAAGAGAGCGATACCACAGACTGAATAGGCCCCAGGCCAGGAAGAGGATGGCCATACTGTCTCTTGGGCTCTCTGAAGGAAAGGTTTTCTGTAACTGTTCTTAAACAAGCTAATGGGCTGCCATGGAGACATAAAGATATCCCCTGAGGTCTTTAAAAATCAGACTGAATTCATCTGTAGATAATGTGATTCTACCTTGAAGGCACAAGGACAAAGAGAAAGCGCTTTCAGGGCTTGCTAATTCAGTCCACTCAGTTCACAAAGACTGCCACATATTAAGGGTTTAATAACTATAACTCACAAGAAAGCCAGAGAGTTTCTAAACTGAGGTCTGCCTGCAAACAAAAGACCTATTCAGTAACATGCTCTGGAACTTGAGACTTATTGTTTGAAGTTAAGTAAGAAATCCAGTAAATAAATACAGCTAATAACCTCAGGATTCACATATAAATTTCTAATATTTTCCTTTTATTTGAACTATCCAAAACTAACCCTGTAATGAAACTTGCTCAAAGGGGAGCAAAGAGCACAATTATTGAATGATAATTAAACAGTAATAGCAAGAAGATGCTAAGGCCTGTGCATTAAAGTTCATACTTTCTATCCATCCTGTAATTCCTTACTCTTCTTTCAAGTCTTATTTATTCCTACCATCCTAAAGCAAAAGAAATTCATATTTGCTTTTGATCACAACATTGATATATATATTTCAATTAAAAATATATCCACATTATTCTATTACCATTTAATTTCCCTTTAAAATGGAAATATAAACATATTTTGTAAACAATTTGGTAGTATATAAATCTCCTGGAATACAGCATAAACAGTTTGGGATTTTTAAGCATACAATGACATTATTGAATTTGCTCATATTATTTCCTACCTAATTTCAATACATTTCAGATGCACCGACCATACTTTCTGAAGGAATTTCTGCTGCCTCGTGTGTGCCCTTCTTTCTACCTCTTTCTTTCCTTTATCTGCATTTCAGATATGGTGGGGTGAGAAGAAATGATCAGATCATAAATGGACACATCACAATCAGAGGCTATGTTGATGAGTGAACTGTGACAGGGACTCCTAACGGGGCCCAGTTTCTGATGAGTCTCTACCCTGTATGTCCCCAGTTTCTGGACTCAGTACATTTATGTTCTATTTCTAATCTCTTGAAAGCCACGTCTTAGTCAATACTCATGCCACAGGACAGCCAGTGTGCTCAATGCGCTGCTCACTTTCCAGGATTCTGAGCTGGTAGGAAGAGAACCCTGAGGAACTACTGCTGTGACAAGACCACCATATGGAGCTTCAGAGTCATCACATTGTCTCCTCAAAAGGAAGAAAAGCAAATTTGGGAAATATGTAAATTCACTAATCTCAAAGAAGGTATACAAACAAGAGCCTAGAATTCTCTGAAGAGGATTCCTTTCTCTCAATTGGTAGGTTCATCCACTGGCAACACATTAGTAGGCCACATAGAAGACACCAGACCCAGCAATGAAAGCAGAAAAGATAGCTGGAACAATCCTAAAAGACAGATTAGAGGAAATGCCTGTTGCTGGCATGCAAGAGCCCAGAAAACAAATCAAGCACGGCGCTCCCCAGGACTAGGCCCTGCTCATACTCACTTGCTGCACAGGCAGCTGTCTCCAGGCTCAGCTTCATTCCCTGTGCTTGCAGCTCAAGCAAGGGGAGCTGAATGCCAATGAGACAGCCTTCTTCAGTTATTAGCAGACACTGTGAAGCAATTGGTGTAAGAGCAGAGCACCCAGTCTGCATTTTTGTGGGCAACTTATAGATCAAATTTCCTGTCACTGAGGATATTTTGAGTTTTAAATATAAAGATACAGTAGCTTATCAAACCACAGTTCATCTCCTCTAACTGGATTTATCTCATATACAAAATATAAAAATATAATCAGACTATGGCTATTATTCCAAATAATGCTTTGTAGCACAGATACTTGACGCAGATTCATATTACATGAAAAAAAACAAAAGTTAAAGAGAAGAATTAATTTTCTATATAGTTTCCTAATGTATAAACTAAATAATTCTATAAATATAATATAATATATATTATAATATATAATAAATATATTTAGTTTATATATCTGGATATAAAAATAATTTTGATCTAAAAGAGAATACAAGTATTCCCTTAATATAAAATGTGAAAGTCAAAGATAACTGGGTATTAGTTATTTAATTTTATATAGACTACCATAATTGATTTTATTAACTGTTAAGAACTTCTTCTAGTTACTCTCATTCTCATATACATATGTGGATAACTATCAAACTCTTTAATATGTACTTCTCCAAGGTCTTATTAATGTCCGATATACCAAACACAATAGTTGCCCTAAAAGTTCACAAGTACTTTTAAATGGGATGCACTTTACCTTGAATGAGAGATTTTTACAATCTACTACATAGCATAATTTGTAACATCATTATGTATATACACCATGTAATTACTCCAAGCACTGCTATACACACAAACATATACGTATCACATTTGTTTCTGTGAACATATAAGTGTACATGACATAGTTCAAACACCTTTTGTGTAACAGAGTGATACAAATTATTTTACTGGGTGGGAATATATTATGATTTACATAAAAATGTAATAATTGAAAACAAATATATCATTCTTATTCATCATTAAAAAAAAGAGACAAAGCCGGGCGGTGGTGGCGCACGCCTTTAATCCCAGCACTCGGGAGGCAGAGCCAGGCGGATCTCTGTGAGTTCGAGGCCAGCCTGGACTACCAAGTGAGTTCCAGGAAAGGCGCAAAGCTACACAGAGAAACCCTGTCTCGAAAAACCAAAAAAAAAAAAAAAAAAAAAAGAGACAAATCCAGGGAAATGAAAGAGTTTTTAATGTCTTATTCAGTAGCCACAATTACTTCATCTTTTAAAAATGACTGTAGCATGAATTTTCAGTCAAGGAAATGTCTCTAGTAGAGCCAAAACACACATCATTTGAAGTAGTTATTATCCACTAATTCCAAACCAAAAGTCAACTGTATTTATTTATATTTCACCTCTCCTTTTGTTAATTATTAATCCTATAAATTAAGCTACAGTAATCTGTCCCTTATAAATACCGCTAGTCTTTGCAAGTGCTGGTGACTCTATCAGGCCATGTGTACACTAAGCATATATTCTTTCAGCAGGCACCATACTGGGACTAATGTTTTTATTAATGATATAGTAATGGGCTGTGACATTTGATCTGCAGTTACTTCTTACTTCCTTGTTTGTTGATTCTACCAAGCAACAAGACAGCTGAAATGGTTAATACTCTCCTGCTGTACAAAACAGCCACTAATAACGTGGTTGAATAAAATGGAGTAAAGGAATAATTAGGGAGAGATTTTATAAAATGCCTGTTCTACATATGTTGTAAATTTATATATCATTAGCGTACGTCTACAGGAATGAAAGAGCTCAGTGTTTTCCTGGTGCAAGCACACTGTGTACATACCGGCCTTGAACATCGTTCCAATCTCTCAGGAGCCTTTCATTTTCTTTCTGCAGGTGCTCGTTTCTGGCTTGTTTTTCTGCAATGGTGTCCAGGCAGTAACAAATGAGTTCTCTAATGACTTCAGTTGAGTTTGGAACTTTGTTTAGGTTGAAGGAACCAAGTCTAAACTAAAAAAAAAAAAAAAGAAAGAAAGCAAAGGAAAACACAGTCAGTTTCAGAGTACTGTTGAGATTGAACAAATGAACAGTCCAGTCTTCGACATTCTTTCTTCTGAGGTGAAAAATGTATGAGATGGAAACTGTACTTACTTATCACACACAATACAGTCAACATAAAACCGGCTCAACCCCTAGCTTCCTCTTGCATTTATCATATGAATCAACAAGTAGCCTAAAAATAATGTCTCTCACTTCCTATTAGAAAAGAAAGCAATATATCTGCTCTTAGACATGCCTCACCATCTGTTTACAAAGCACAAGTTTATCTTACTCTGCTCAGCGTCAGGGAACATGTTACATATAACAATTTTTAACCCACGTATTGTTAAAATAAATGGACATATTTGTACCACAACTATTGGAATGATTCATATATAAGGTACTACTGAAGAAATATCTAGTATTGGTAATAGTTAAAAGTTAAATGGTTAAATATCCAATTGGTAATAGTAAAAAGAAAAATAGAATTTCAAGGAACAGATAACCTGAGAAAACTACAAAGGAATTACCTTTTTATTTAAAGACTATGATTTGCTTACAATAATAATACTAAATGACAGTTGTGTGACATTTTGTTTGTGTTCTGACAAATGCTTGCTGGAGATCAAGAGGGTGGGGCTAGCCATTAGTTAACCATAGAGGCCAGGGGTGGTGGCTCTGGCCTTTAATCCCAGCACTCAGGGGGCAGAGACAGGATATTGGCCCCTTGTGGTTGGAGGATCTGAGAGGTAAGAAGTCACTGGTGGCTGCTGCTCTGCTTCTCTGATCTTTCAGGTTATTACCCCAATATCTGACTCCGAGTTTTTATTGATAAGACTAATTATATTCACGCTTCAAATGACAACTTGAATACTTTTGTAAAAGGTAAGAATCTTAAAATAGCATTAGGAGGGAACTTCAGAAGAAATTATTACAATACAAGTGTGAGTTATAAATGAATGCATAGGCCAGTCATCTATGGATTCCTATCATCTCCATCAAAAAGTGACTTGTTCAATTTTTTTGCTCCTAGATCACTACTTTCTAGTATTTTATGTATTTAATAAAAATATATCCAAAATACATCATTTCTCAAGTTGAGAATTGAGACAAAAGCATATCACACAATTTATAACTCAAAAATAACCCAGCTAGAAGTCATTAATACAGAAATCCAAATCTATATGGTAACCAATAACTTCAGTAACTTCCTTTAATGTACTATCACTTGGATATATAACTCCAAAAGGTGAACTTTTCTAGATAACTGTTTCCTAATTTAAGTGTTCAGACATAACATATGGATAGAAGAGAGTTTAACATCATGGAAACTATGACAAAAAGTTTAAAACATGAATCTTAGATGTTGAGAAACACTTATACTAATTTAATAAATAAAGAAATATCACTATTGTGATGTTTGCTTTTAACTGTCAACATGACACAGTCCAGAAGCACTTGAGAAGAGTGTCTCAATGGCCGGCTAGATCAGGCTGGCCTGAAGATAGGTCTACGGAGTCACGCACTGCAGTGGTGCCTGCGCAGGGAGGGAGTCATGGATAGTAGAACAACTGACAAAGAGAGCACAGCATGTGTGCACTATTCTTCCTCCCCGTGACTGTGGACAGAGACCAGCCAGCTCTCTCAAGTGACTGCCACTGTGGTGGTTTACCACCACAACAGACTGTCACCCAGAACTGTGAACTGAAATAAACTTTCTCCTCTAAGTTTCTTTGTCGGGGCATTTTGTCACAGCAACAGAAAATGAAACTAAAAGAAATATTTATAGACTTTGAGATTACAACCATAAGTTAAAGGATTAAGTATTATATTACTAACCACAAAATATGGTTATATATATTTATAATATATATAAGGTAATATATGTATTAATTACTATTTTTAAGCCTGACCTGCTCATAATATTCACTTACTCCTCTGTTTTATCTCATCTTTTACTGGCTCTTTAAAAAGTTAAAATGGTATCAGATGAACAAAATAATTTCTTTATTTCAATGAGTGTACCCATTTGGAAGGAACTCATTTGCTTGGATTAAATTAAACAATTTAAGAAACGTTTAACAAAAAGACATTTGGAAAGAGTAGAAATCTAAATTATTTGAGACTGCTGTATCTTATCTAATTATTTATTTTAAACTTTTAATCAAATGGTCAAAAGCATTTGAAATTTTTCATGTAATGAAAGAAGAGTCCATGTAACAAGGGTAAAAGTTTAAAAAAGACAATTTTAATGACATGAAGAACATATGAATTGGAAGTAAATTTGAACACGTTCCTTTTGACGCTTCTCTGAGTGTAAACACACCGAAAGTTAAAGGTCATCTCTGCAATACCACCCTATGAGATTATATAAGGCATGAGAAAAGCTAAGTTTACTTTCATTTTCAACAACACAGGGCACTGTCAACAGAATACACATCCACAAAGGGACGTGGCATCTTCTTCATAGTACAGTTGTCACTGTGTTGAGAAACGTGTGCACTTTAAAGAAGAAAGGTTTTCATCATTAAGAGATTTTCAAAATGTCAAGTGTACAGAGAATGTGTGCACACTTTGATGTGAATAAAGCAATCTATAAAGTACTAATGTAGAAACAAAAACATAATGATACATTATGTCTAAGGAGGAAAAAAATTTTAAATCAACGTTTGTCAAAATATTTCTCAAATATTAAAAATATTTTTAAAATGTTATCATATATGAATATAGTGTTTTTTATATTCATCCCTTATTCCTAACTTCTCCCAGGTAAACCCATAAAGTCCACCTCAACTTAATGTTCTCTTTTTCAAATAATAAAAAAAATCTTAATTTATTCTTTAATTAATTATAATGTTGAAAATAAACTGAAAGTATCACTTCTCCTTTGGAGTAAACAATTTCTGGCTATAGATTGCCTTCATTGTTTCTGGTGCTTTGAAAGGTATGAACATCAGTTATCCCCAGGAATAAAATGTAATAAAAGACAAGTATCTGGGCATGAAACCCATAGATCAGATTTCCTTGGAGTATCCATTTTAATCACTGTTTGACTTCTCAGTGGGAAGGTTTGGTCTCCCTATACACAGAGCTCAGAGCCAGGGCAAGAAGAGCTCTTCTCCAGCCAAAGGTGCAGGGATGAGATTTCATAAGAGTCTCCTCCTCTGGAGCCTGAGAGGAAAACATTCCCATGGTCTAGCTCTACATGAAGCTCACATTGCCCTGTGAGCACAGGAAAACTGGGGACTTAGTACCATTTAAAAATAAGAAGTCCACACAAAAGCTATATTATATTGTTCCACCAACTTAAAATTCTTTAGCTGGTATAGCCCAAGCTGGCCTCAAACTTGTGATCTTCCTGTTGCCACCTCTTCATCACATCATATAGGAATGTGCCGCCACAGGGTGGTACTAACTTTCAGACTTAGTGTGTTACAAACACTAAAAGACATGAAGTTGTGAGGATGACATGAGAGAAGATGGAATGGGGGATGAGGATGTAGATAAGATCAAATCACACTGTTTAGGGCCAGGCATGGTGCATGCCTTTAATCCTAGAAGCAGGGGCAGAAGGATCTCTGTAAGTTCAAGGCAGGCCTGGTCTACATAGTGAGCTCCAGGATAGTTTGGTCTACCTACTGAGTCCTTATCTCAGAAAAACAAAACAAAACATAGCAACAACAAAATACACTGCTTACAAGTATGAAATGCCAAAGGAAAAAAATAGAAAACATCCACTAGGCACTAAAGCACATACCTGTAACGACAACAAATATCCCTTACTAAGAAGTCATTTACAATTGATGCCAGCTAAGAAAAGGAAAATCAGTTTTCTCTAATGGAGTGACACTGGCCATATCTACCACATGCTGAGACATAACCCATGCCCAGGAGTAGCTGACCAACCAGAATAGATTCCATGTCTTTTGTGTGCCTTTTGCCTTGATTTTTTTATTTAGACAGAGAAATATCATGAAGTACGGTGGGCAGGGAGATGGGGAAAATGTGGGGAAAGTAAGGCTATGAGAAAAAAATAGGATCAAAATGTATTGCATGAAAAAATTCAAATAAATTTTTTAAAAGGAAACAATTTTTTGTTGTTGTTGTTTTACTATTGAGTTTTGATAAGCATGTCACCAAGACATTTTTTACTTGTCAGAAAAATATAAAATAAAAATCAACTACAGTAACTACCAAAAAATAAAATAAAATAAACCAAGTTGGCTCCACATGAAGCTGCTCATCTCCCTACCCACTAGGTTCTATGCCTGCAACATGTACCGCTTTTTTATGTCATCATGGTTAATAAAGTGAGTAGTTTAAAGTGCTAAGAATATGGTTTACTTTGAGATTCATTAATTTTGAAATCATCCTATAATGAAGAGTAATTTGCAACGTGAATTACAAACTAAAGTCACCTCCTCAGTATCCATGGTTCCAGGACTACTCTGAGATAACAAGCAGCATATCATGACATGATTTATATGAAGGGTGTGTTTGTATATGCACATATCCTTCTGCATACTTAAAATTGCAATTGTTATAATACTTAACAAAATATAAAATATAAAAGGAATGGAAGGAAATAGTATAGCATATTATGTAGAGAAGATAAAGTCAGTGAAGTTTCAGTTCAGATGAAACTTTTTTCACAGTTTTTTTTAGTTCTTAGTTGCGGGAATCCACACAAGCAGAAACCCATCTACCCCAACCACTGTGATGGTTAAAGTCCAGTATCATTTTGATTGGATTAAAGAATGTAAGGTCATTAGTGAGGCACATTTATGAAGATGCTCCCAGAGATGATTAGCTGAGGAAAGAGGACTCACCCTGAAGGACGTAGACCACTGGCTGGGCCGGAGCCCCCAGTTAATAACAGAGGAGAACTGAGAGAGAGAAGTAAGAGACAGCAATCAGCTCCTTTGGCACCTGAGCCAGTCAGATGTGTGGCCAGAGGCAACAATAAGCAGTCTCCATGAGTTTCAAGGAGTAAACAAAATGAGATATTAAAAAGACAGCAAAGAAAGCACACCCACGGGTATAATAGTTACTGTTCTTGCCACAGTGACCAAATAACTGAAAAGAAGCCACCTCATTTAGGAAGGCTTTATTTTTCTTCATGGATATAGAGGGCTATAAAATTGATTTCCTCCATTCTGAACCATTATTTTTTATATGTTAGTCACTTTCTTATGAAAGGCACAAGTTCCCATGACAAACATTGTAAAGGAGCAATGATTTACTTTGGCTCACAGTCAGAGGTTTGAACCTATGGTCATTCCACTCCACTGCTTCTTGGTCTCTGGTGAAACAGCTCATCATGGTGCCGAGCATGGACAGAACAATAGCTCAACTCAGAATAGACAGGAGGCAGGGAGGAGACACAGAGAAGATACATCTTCCAGGGCACACATGTCAGTGACCTACTTCCTCCTACCAGGCCCCACCTCCTACTTTCTACAATTGACCAATAATGACACTGTATCATAAACCCATAAAGTCACTGATCACTGATTAGACCAGAGCCCTTAGAATGAGTTCATCATTTTCCAAAAGCCTATTAACTAACAATCAAGCCATCCTGTGTGGCCTGTATTTCAAATTCAAACTATAACATCATCAATTTAGGCTCATAACTATAAAGCCAGCACATGGGAGGTTAAGGACAGAAAACTCTTGAATTTTTAATGAGTTCAAGGCCATCTTTAGCTACAGAGTAAATTCAGGCCAGCTTGGACTAGCAAAGTAAGACCCTAATTCAAACAGTTATTTTTATTTCCTTTAATTAAATTTGCCATTGCCTATTTCTGAATAATTCTGTCCTACAAATAGTACAACACTATCAGAAGATTTATAAGAAACATGAATGAAAGCATATAGCTGGAGTTTTCTCCGGTCCCGCCCAGGGCCCACAGCTGCTCAGACCCAAATAAACACAGAAGCTTATATTAATTAAAACTCCTTGGCCATTAGCTCAGGCTAACTACTGACTAGTTCTTACACTTAAACTCAGCCCATTTCTGTTAATCTATATGCCACCACGTATTCCGTGGCTTTACCTGTGTGCCATTACATGCTGCTCCCTGGACAGCGGGCTCGTATTTTCTGACTCAGCCTTCCTCTTCCCAGAATTCTCCTCTCTGCTTATCCCACCTATACTTCCTGCCGGGGTACTGGCCAATCAGCATTTTATTTATCAGCCAATCAGAGCAACACATATTCACAGCATATACAGAAAGACATCCACAGCAAAAGTATCTATTCATTCTTATTATGATGGTTATATAAAAATGATTATATGTTGTATGGCAAATGTAAAATTCTCTACTTTAGAAAGTCAATGTTGACAACTATTTGTGGTGGGGTCCTGAGTAATCAATTGCAATCTCTGTGCTTCAAACATGGAACAGGGGTGTAACACTGGAGATTCATGAACACTGTCAAAGGATTGCTCATTATTTTGTAAATAGGCTACAAAGGAACAAGGACCTAACAATAACAACAATAACACACACACACACAACACACACACACCACCTGTACTTACTCTTAGTCAGAATTTGATACACCTTTTGAATATGGTTGATTACTTTACACAGCAGCATTCCAGAGTGACAATGCCAGAGAAAAATCTCCTAGGATTGGAAGGGGATGAAATCAAGACTTCTGGTGTGTAGCATGTGTTGCTCACAGAAATGGTGAGACAGCAAAAGTTACATAATGGCTTAAACACCAACCGAGGAGATACTTCAAGACTAACTTGACAGTTCAGAGCATAAAATGCCAATGACCATTTTTCTCTGAAATTAGTTTACTTTGTTAAAGAACAACTTATCAGAATATTCAAATCATTCTCTAGAAAGATTTGCATAGTAAAGTACACAGACACACACAGATACACAGATACAGACACACAGACACACACACACACACACACACACACACACACACACACTCACACACATGCACACCTTGACTATAAAAATTTGGCTTCTCCCCATTGGAAATTACAGTGCACTTCCATCAACCCTTCCACCCTCCAAAGAGGCTTGAACTACTTTTACTTGATGAAAGCACATAATTATTAGAAGCCATTGCACAGATATTACAAACATTTGAGAAACAAAATATTTACATTATAATTACTACAACTCCATTATAAGTTATCAGAAACTACTAAACTCAAAGCTGAGATCCTTAAAAGTTATAAAAATGGAAAGTATCCCTAAGTCTCTAAACAAAATAGTAAAATATAGGATTGATTTTTAAAAGCTACTTGTGTGCTTAATTTTTTAATTTATTGCTAAGAAAGAACAAAGATTAACCATTTTCAAACTACTGATTGTAAGAGCTACCAATACTTTGCATTAAAATACTTATACCATGCTAAGAAAGGACTTTGTTCATTATAATTTGATCAGAGATCTCTAGGAAACAAAGTTCTCTGACTTCCTGCCACTTTGGAATCATCCTGGCATCACTGACCAATGATGCCACTATATCATGAACATAAAAAGTCATTCATCACTGATTAGACCAGATTCTCAGGGCAGTCTAAGGACTAGAACTGTTTACTCTGACATCCTACTTTACCCAGTGACAAATGAAATCAAATGAGCAGCCTGGAAGACAAAGACATTTCAACAAACACCTTCCTTTTGACGAGGTTGAGGAAAAATGGGGAGAAAAACAAAAGGTGACCATGTATTTATCTGAATTTTCTACCAAAAATATCTTGTTAACAGTTAGCACCTCGGTACTCCAGTGCAGGCAATGCTGAACTGAACTTAACTAGCTCTCCTGCTGTAACTAGAAACTCTGGGACTAAGGAAAAGCAAAACAAAACCAACAGCCAAATGCCTGTTTGCAGTGCTGGGTAAGGAATAAAAATAGAAACTGAAAGTCATTCAAACAGGGTGACATCCATGTTTACGCAGCTTTTCCCCACAGGGCCCAGTACAGTCCACAGAGAATGCTAGATCTCAAGTTGAAATATTACTTCCTGGCTGCAAGAGCCAGAGAATGGAGTGTACAGACACACAGCAACACTCATTGCCACAGAAACAGAGAGAGAGACACAAATACACAAATAATAGTGAGAAATGCAAAAGAGGGATGATTGAGAGGCAGGGCTGTGAGGAGGTGATAAGGCTCAAATAGCAATGTCTTCATGGATCATCATAAAGAAAACTTGAGGGACCTCAATACAAATTGAGAGGTCCTACAGAGGGTTTTAAATTCACACGATGCGGTCAGCCAAAGCAAAAAACCCCAGAAGACATGGAATTTTAAAAGTAGTTATAAAAATAGGAATGGGCTGATTATTTCAAATTTTAATCTTAAAAGAGTACTGTAAAGCCCAAGTGATGGTATTAGAAGGACATTCATGTAAATATAATCACTAAATTTCAGAACAGTTGGAATAAAAGGAGGATTCTAAGAACTCCCAAAGAAATGAAACAGGTTACACATGAAGGATCAGGATTATGACACTTGATTTCTGTTGCAAGGATGGAAACTAGAAAGCAGTGAATTAATTTTTCCAAAATGAACAAGACATATTCTGACAAGAAGCTATTTGAGAATATTTTGAATTGTGACAAGGCAAGACACTTGTCTCAGTTTATTTAGGCTATGGTAACAAGATGCTTCAAACTAGATAATTTATAAGCAACAGAAATGTACTGCTCAAAATTCTAGGAACCAGTCAGTGTCTAGTAAAGGGCTTTTCCTCACAGATGATACCTTTGAGCTGCATCCTCAAATGGTGACAAGGCAGTTAACTACTTAGGTCCCTCACGCTCCTTTGTGAAAGGTATCAATCCCATTCATGAAGACATAATAATTTAGGTCTGGTTTACTATATTAGTGATCAAAAATTAACATGTAAAATAAGACAAAAGAATTGCATTTACATCACAGAAATACAAAGTCAAAACAACATGAAATTCAGTATAAAAGAAAAAAAAATGAATCTTCAAAATGATGGTCAGTTTGTATGCATCAACTGACTTCTTTTATTAACCACCTTCAGCTCCTTGTACTGTTTTATGATAATAACTGTTAGTGGCAGTTTTATAATTTAGGACTAGGATTATATAATAACTGGTGTCAGATTGACTGTTTTTGCATATTTCTTTAAAAAACATAAAAGAAAAATGAATGAAGAGTTGAATACTGTGCTGTTTCTTGTGGAAGTGAACATGAGATCATTTTCTCTGAGGAAAAAACAGTTGCCTCTTGTGTCCTGTTGGAGAATGAAGTTGTATGTGCCATTTCCTATGGGTTCCGGTGTGCACAGGAGGATACTGTGTGTTCAGTCACTGTGGACTGTGTGGGTTCTTGCTCAGTTCATTATCAATCCTCCGCATTTACTTCACTAGTGTGGAACTGGCTGGCACAGTCTATTTCCCTGAACCCAATGTCACTTGTCTTTAGTCTGGCAACTGGGAAAATTCCAACCACACTCTTCACAATGATGTCACCAACAACTCTTTCCATTCTTAATCAATCTAAATGGCAGACTTCAGATTTCTCTAAATGAGTAAATAGGCTGCTGGGGAAATGGTAAAAATGTGCCATCACCATCATCAGCTTCTCTGGGACAAATCTTGTGGTGCTGAAAAGCCTCTGTTTTGCTTCAGAAATCCCAAGCCTTCTCCACCCTCCTCATCCCTTTTAATATGAACAAAAAGACCTTGCCTTCTGGTTTCCAGAGCATACAATAATCCCCTCAAATTTCTGATGCACAGACTCCTATCTGTATTCTATTCATTGAAGACTGTCATTATGCTTTCCCTTTCCAATTTCTTTTCTTAGATAATCCATCACCACAGTCTAAGCTCTCTATTTACATCTCATAAATCCCCTTACCTGAACTCAGTGG